AAAAAAAAAAAAAAAAAAAAAAAAAAAAAAAAAAAAAAAAAAAAAAAAAAAAAAAAAAAAAAAAAAAAAAAAAAAAAAAAAAAAAAAAAAAAAAAAAAAAAAAAAAAAAAAAAAAAAGAAGTAGTAGGAAGGCAAAAAGAAAATTGGGAAAAAAGAAATTGTTTTCAACAGCAGAAATAGTTTTTTTATTTCCAGTTGAAACCACTGTGAGGTAATGCTGAAGAACTGTTACGCTTTCATCTGTGTAGAATCAGCCTGACTGACTGTCCCCTGCTCAGCCCAGGCTGACACCACAGTGTTCCACTGACTGCTGCTGATAAGGAGATTCACGGAGCTCCTGATTCTCCAGTCAGGTTTTTGCTGCCATCTCCATCGAAACCAAGGTTTTATTCAGCCAGCCCCTCCTGAGCAGTGCTGGTCCCTTGGATATGTTGTGCTAATGATGCTATTTCCTCCTCCTGATGCTCCCAAGTGCAAGAGCTCAGTAGGACATAAACAAACTATTTCCTTATCTAAAGCCTACTGTGGCAGGGCCCTCCTCTGAAGCCAAATGATTTGGTGCAATGCAGTGAGTCCTGATTTGTGCCCTTTTACTGAAACTGAAAAATTTTCTATTTACTATTAGATACCATGAAATTGTCTCCAACTACTGCTCACCATGTTTGCTAAACCTAAGGGAGAGCAATAAGAACTAAAAACAACAGTAAACCTGTATGATTTATGCAGCTCTATTTTGTGTTATGGAATCCAGTCATTCAAAGCTGCCTGCTAATTTTAGGCTGGAAATACTATCCCTGGAGCCTTCAGCCTTCATTTGTCTCTCCTTCTGTGAATATTGTAATTAATAAATATCCCAAAGCTCTCCTTCACCTTGCTTTCTGACAGTGTAAGGAGTGCTGCCATGCATTAACACCCAAGACAGACTAGGAACAAAAAGGGGGTGGCGGGGGAAAGATTAATACTTCAATTTTATTGGTAATTAATATTCACAGTTCCAAGATGTGTTGTCTTTCAGTTCACTTTGAGAAATGTAGAGCAAACAAGAGGATGATAACATTTATCATAGCTGGTGAATTCACAAGTGGAGCTGGCAAATATAATAATTGAAACTATGCTCTGTAATGCATCTTCTTCATGCATGAGTTCTGATACCGCTAGCCTGGCTTTGATTCATTGTTTGTCTGGTCTGTGGAACAGCTTGCAGTAATTGCTGTATCCAGAGCACTCTACTTGGGGCTAGAAGAGAGATCCATTTCACAGACAGCCACCCTCTGGCTTTCTCCATATTCCCTCCCTGCTTTCCACCCAGACATTAACTCATTAGCTTGCCGTTTCATGGATGTGTGTTCAGACCCCCAAATCACCACATGCTGTACTCTCCCCCTTCCTCTATTAGGGAAAAGCATTATGCTACAGAACTACACCCTGGGGAAGGAAATGTTCCACTCTAATTACCACTGACAAAAGAAATCTACAGATTGATTAAAAACAATATGTGGGGAATTAAACAGGAAATGCAACGTGCATAAACCTGCATGGGTGAGATCCACTTTTTCCCTGGCTGGAATGCAACGCAACAGGCTGCGAGGAGAACTTTGGAGTGTGTTTGTTTGGGAGAAGGCCATCGGGAGAATGGCCAGGAAGAGTCACAGTGGTTTGGCTCATTGTCTGTAAATCATTATAGGTCTGTGGTGTGGTTTCAGATTAAGGAAGAGCCATGGCCTTCTAGGCTTAGTCTGTTTTCTAGTTTGCCAGCATTCTCGCAAGCAGGAGCGACAGGAGGTGTGGGAAGGATGGGACAGGGTTGGTTCATGGTGGAGTGGATTGTTTTTGGTGAGGCTACCTTACCAGCGTTGGTGTCAAAGAGGAAGTAGGGAAATTGTGTCTTCTAGAGCATCTTCCCCCTCCTATTCCGTGGAAGAGAGCAGTTACATCAACCCTCCTACTGCCTGCAGCAGATCTGAAATACCTGAACTGTGGTATCCTTGCCCACCTTCAGTAGTATCTCCCCAGAATGTGTGGGAAATGTTAAGCCATAGGAATGCTTGGGAAATGCTAAGCTTCTCCAGCTGGGTTCAGGAGGTCACCATATAGCAAAGAAACCTCTTTGTATTGGTTGTGTTTGGACAGTTTCTACATGTCAAAATATCACCAAAACTGACCTTTAGAGAAATAATATTAATTCATTATTGCTGGCTCTCCTTAGAGAGTGGCTATGCAGCTCCTTAATCATAATTACTGTTCAGAGAATAATTAATCTGATAAGAGTTTTTAATTAGATTATCTGAAGTAAGCTGTGTAAGTGATTTTGGCCTCCCAGAGTCTGAAACTGCAGCTCTACAAAATGATTTCCAAAAGGCCTATTTGGTAATATCACTGCTGACATGGGGGTCATGGCTCAGCTGTCCTACTGACAAGCATCATCTTGGCATGCTGACTGGAGCTGGTGCTGGGAGCATCCAGGAAAGGGATTTTAGCTCAGATCCAGTATATGCAGTGAGGTTCTTAATTCTCCCTGAGCTAAATAGGTGCTTAAATGCCTTTGTGGAGTTTGGGTCTGAATTTGTC